CTCTCTCTCTCTCTCTCTCTCTCTCTCTCTCTCTCTCTCTCTCTCTCTCTCTCTCTCTCTCTCTCTCTCTCTCTCATCGAGACGCTCCGCAGGAAGGAGCTTCTGTGGAAACTGTGGAAAGTGGAGGACATGCGGCGTCTCCTGCAAACTTCACCCGAAACTAAGTTCACTCCGAGCTGAACAAAGACCTCGAGGAAAGAGAAGGAGGACGAAATGAACTGAAGAGGAGAAGAGAGGAAGAGGAGGTGGAGGAAGAGGAGGAAGAGGAGGAGAGCCGTTCACTCCCATTGATCCTGCACCGAGGTATCGATTGAAGGCCTGAATTTATAATAACACATCAAACACTGAGCTCAGCATCGATCATGAGGATTTTATATCAGAAGCTTCTCTTCATTTTCAAGTTGATTCTGAAAAACTAAATGTTGAAGGACGAGTCTGTGCATGTAGACACACACACACACACACACACACACACACACACACAAAGTCAAAGGTGTGAGTGTGTGTGTGTGTGTCCTGTTACCATGACCACCAGTGTCTCACCTGATGAGACACAGGTCCAGTCATCAGATCAGTATTAATTGTGAGACATCTGCTTTCACTCAGTCTTCACATATAAAGTCAACATCGTTCTCTCGGATTTGAAGTTTGTAAACACGTCACAGCTTTTAAACACTGCTTCATTTTCCCAGAATACATCAGTGTTGATTCAACGCTCTGCTAACGTTGAGGTCAGGTTATGCTGCTGTGTTGAGTTACATGTCAGTCGTGGTGAACCGATGTCGATGACTCGTCAGAAACCATTTCGACAATCACTTTAAAATCTTTTTTAAAAAAACCATCTGGTTCCTTTTGTTTGTTTCCTATAAATTAAATATCTAAACTAACTTTATCCAAATGTTTATTCACACAAAAGGGAAAAAGAATCTGGAAGAACCGCAGAACTTCAGAACGATTTCAGTGCACGACCGATAGCGTGCTGTTTATATTTCTTATCTGTTGCGGAATCTAATTTAAAAAATGGTGACATACACAAATAGAACAATCTCAGAGCTCATTTCCCTCTTTAGGCCCCCGTCGAGAAACAAAGAAACACAGAACCGAGCCTCCACCTCGAATCCACCAGAAACAACGTAGACTTCTCACTGGTCATATCCAGTTACAAAGATTGTGAATAGTTAAAAACAGCTTCCTCTGAGTTTCAGCTCTTCTCCACAGACGAATGTTTCAGATCACACTCACAGCCAAGTTGGCAGGTCCATCTCAGATGTGGTTTTATGATGTGCAGTTAGTCCTGCAGTGATGGCACGCGTGTGGGAATTTGTGCCGACTCAAACATTTTTTAGCTTCAGTTCCGCGGTTCCTCGTATTGTTATGTTTTTGTGTGTATTTTTATTTTCTCTGCAGGGCCGCTGCGGTAAAGATGCAGGCCGCTGCCGCTGCTCTGGCTCTCAGTGTCTTCTTCACCCTGGACGGCCTGTGTGCCCACCGGTCCAAACCCAACTCACAGAACCACGAGGACGGGAACACCCAGAACAATGAGACAGAACCGGAGCAGAAGAAGAACCAGCCGCACATCATATTCATCCTCACAGACGACCAGGTGTGTGTGTGTGTGTGTGTGTGTGTGTGTTTTCTTCATTCACAAATGTTTTTAGCAGCTTTTACGTCTACACATTACCAGATGCTCTGAATCTCATCTGGATTACTTGAACCTGCCAACTTTAACCGATTACCTGAACTTGTATTTCTCTGAACATAACTCAAACCCAACAACATTAAGTTGATTATTTGACCCCGATAACGATAACTTGATTACCTGGATCTCCTCCTCCTCCTCTTCCTCCTCCTCAGAAGAAACTGAAAACCATGAAGGGGAAACAATAACGTTACAACAAGAACTACGTTAATGTGACTAATATAAACAATCAGAACTCTTAAATGTGTTTGTGACTCTGTGACAGGGCTTCAATGACATCGGCTACCACAACCCGACCATCAAGACGCCCACTCTGGACAAACTGGCGGCGGAGGGTGTGACGCTGGAGAATTACTACGTTCAGCCCATCTGCACGCCGTCACGCAGCCAGCTCCTCACTGGCAGGTGCACACGTCTCTTTACTGGCCTCGTGGGGACACTGGGGACATGTGGAGCAGTGGACCAGGAGCTCCAGGAGCTCGTCTTGTACAAATCCATTAACAAGTCCCTTTATCTCCAGGTATCAGATCCACACAGGACTACAGCACTCCATCATCAGACCCAGCCAGCCGAGCTGCCTGCCCTCACACATGGACACGCTGCCCGAGAGGCTGCGAGAGGCCGGATATTCCACACACATGGTCGGCAAGTGGCACCTGGGCTTCTACAGGTGAGGACTGTACGAGTACGAGCTATGGATTCATATAATCTGAACCGATTATTTATTATTAACTCAAACACTTAATATATATATATATATATATATCAACACCCTCCTGGAAGCTCCAGCTTCTTACGTATGAAGAATTACTGGATTTTCGTTACTTTACCTTTGAATCAGGTCAGTAACAATCCACCACTCAATCCTACACACACACTGATGTTGTCATCCTCTAAACCCGTTTGTATGATGAGTCTTGTGTCCACACGTGAAGGCAAAAGTATTTATAGCTGAACTGAGCGGCCACACATGACGGTGGGGGTGAAAGGAAGGGGGTGGGGGTGGGGTAATTGTTCAAACATGTGGATAACTGCACACGTTCAGACTTTCTCTCCTCAGAGACGTTTATGGTGTTGCTCTTGGAAGTTAACGCACGGAGCGACAGGAGCGAATGTGTGTGAACAACGGAAAGAGAAAATCAAAGTCGTGCTGCTCTGATGTCAGGAAGGTGTGTGTGTGTGTGTGTGTGTGTGTGTGTAAAATGTCCACATCTTAGGTTCAGTCTGGGTCTTTAAGCTTCTGGGACGTTGCAACTGTGCGGATCTTTTACTGCTCGAGGTTTTACAAACATCAGGTGATAAATTCTGCTGATGTATCTGACACAGGAACAACAAAGGGAAACTCGTCCTGTGTTTTATGAACTTACTTATGAATCGATTATTCTCATCTCGTCAGTAACTGAGGCCATTTTCAAAAAAGAACAGCGTGTCCAGAACCCAACCCTCGGAACATATGGTATCTCTGCAGCTTCTCAGTGTGGCAGCTCAGCCAAGTAATAAATATCTTCATGTGCAAATCCAGCAAAAGTGTCTAATGATCATAAATTATACACATTGATTATAATTCAGTCAGAAAACCTCCAATGAAAACATAAATGAAGCGGCTCTGTTAGAAAGCAGGTAAGAAATAAAAAGAACTCAAATAAAACCACAGTATTCATTTTGTTCTACTAACTACTACTAATAATAACGTATATTATAACTAGAATAACAGTGATTACGTGGATTTCTCAGGGAACCTGATGCTGCTTTATGAGGTTTAAACTAGAAGGACAGTAAGTCCAGTGCATTTCTCCACCAAGACTCAACAGTCCCCTTATGAAAGCAAATTTAAATTAGCTGGATCCAGATTTTTTTGGGATCTGCAGCAAATTACACACACACACAAATATCAGCCCCATAAACAGGATTTTTCCATCAAGATCCATGTATTACAACCCGAGAACTCTATGAAAACGTTGCAGTGGATGAAATTCCTGGATCTGCACCATCATTTAATTGGTTACCAAGTTTCCTGGAAATACATTCTGTAGTTTTATGTAATCCTGCTGACAAACAGACCGACCTCATTGGCGTAGGTAAGAGCAGCTGGTCCAGGACTTCGCTGCATCCTCTGGACGTAGAGCAGGACTTCAGTGAGCGGGTCCATGATTTGTTTGTATGCACGAGGCCGTGACTTCTGTTCTGCAGCTGCAAATGATTCCACTTTCTGAATGTAACACGCCAAGAAACACAGGAAGGACGAGACGATGGGAGAGAGGGACAGTGTAAAAAACAAAGAAGCATAAATTGCTTTTCTTAGGCCACAAAGGGACATTTAACTTTGGTCTGAAACTCCACAGGGCAACTTTAATACTTCTATAAAGTTCTGCTATAAAACAACATGATGGAAATCTGACGCTCTCTTTACTCCATCCTTCACTTTTCCTTCAGGAAAGCATGTCTGCCGACCAGAAAGGGCTTCGACAGCTTCTTTGGTTCTTTAACAGGAAGTGTGGATTACTACAGGTACATTACGAGTACAAATACTATGTGATACTCACGGTGAATAAACAGATATCTGTGAAAGTCACGTTTCTCCCTCTGCCTCCAGTTACGGGTCCTGCGACGGCCCGGGGTTGTGTGGGTACGACCTCCACGATGACGAGGGCGTAGCCTGGGGCCAGGAGGGGAAATACTCCACCACGCTGTTCACGCAGAGAGCTCGCAAGATCCTGGAGAGCCACGACCCCGCAGACAAGCCGCTCTTCCTGCTGCTCTCCCTGCAGGTATCACGGCTTAGAACCGACATCTAGAGCATTATGTTGTCCGTCCATCTGTCCCATTCTTCTGAACACAATATCTCAAGAGGATTATCTTCAAATTTGGCTATAGTTTGAAGGTCAAGGTCACAGTGGGCTCATCAAACGTGTTTTTGGTCTCTTGAACACGATATCTCGAGTCTGCCACTGTGAAATGTCTTAAATTTGTACCAGTTGTCACTCAAACGTTAACTGATAAAATAGATAGAGGGTCACAGGGACCTCATATTATTGTGAATTATGTCGGGAACACATGGATTCATACAGTCGCAGGGCTGTAATTATACTTTCTGTAATTATACGGGGAGATCATTTTTCTTCTCAAATAAATAAGTCACAACACGATACAGGCTGACATGTGTTTTGATGCGGCGTTAGTTTGTGTCTGGATTTGGAAAATTAGAAGTTGGAAAAACCCAGAGTCCATCTTAAAGTGTTTACTTGTTTGACATTCGGCTACTAGCATCAGGAACTTATTTACAAACTGACTCATGTGGACTAGACCCATTTCATTAAAAGCTCGGCTCACAGAAAATGTAACCTGATGAAGTATTTCACCTCGAAAGAGAGAGAGATTTGTTTCCAAGGGATTTTTTTCTTATGGCCTCTGTGTGCGTTTGATTCAAAGTTTTGGCTTTTGAGGGGGATAAAGAAAATATGGAGAAAATGTAGTTGAAGAAGAAGAAAAATAAAAAGCTGTTGTTTTTGATTTACTCGTATTAAGGGGGAGGGAGTTTCAACATGTGCACCAGGAGTGAGTGCAGGGGCATTTTGGGAAACGAGAAACTAGGAAATCAATAACTGAAGCAGAGATTGATAAAGAGGTTGAGGAAAGTGGGTTAACATTTAAAAATACCTCAAATGTCAAAGTCAAACGTGTCAATGAAGGATGCATGTTTTCCACCAGGCCGTCCACACTCCTCTACAGCCCCCGAAGCCCTACATCTACCCCTACCGTGACATGGCTAACGTGGCCAGGAGAAAATATGCCGCCATGGTCTCCACAGTGGACGAGTCGGTCCGAAACGTCACCTACGCTCTCCGAAAGTACGGATACTACAAGAACAGCGTCATCATCTACTCCACCGACAATGGTGCCCAGCCATTCACTGGAGGCAGCAACTGGCCACTGAGAGGCCGCAAGGTAGCATTAAATAAATGATTGGGTTTGAATTATTTAGAGATACATTGAAAAGCAGTTTTGGAAAATGGCAGAAACACTTTGGTTGAATGTTTTCACATACATGTCAGTATCTGCGTTTATGTAAAACTTTTATTTTAAACAATAAAGTAAACATGTGCACTTACCTATATATTTTATTCTAGTGTCATACATGTAGTTGTATTTGTGTTTTCAGGGCACATATTGGGAGGGTGGAGTCCGTGGCGTGGCGTTCGTACACAGTCCTCTGCTGAAACGCAGAAGAAGAGTCTCCAAAGCTCTTCTCCACATCACAGACTGGTTCCCCACCCTGGTGGGTCTGGCTGGAGGCAACATCAGCCAGGTCAGTGAAGATCAACACAACCTGATAACAACCTGTGCGTCTTTCAGCACTTTCATTGTGTGAAGTCACAGATGTTACCAATCCGACCTTCACAGCTGATAAAGATAAAGATCAGATACGGACTATTTGATAGTGTTGTCTAACCACAGACTGTAAAAAAAGATGGACGCTGTTACACTTCCTGCCACTATCCAGAAAAGAAGCCAAAGTACTGCAGACTTTCATCAAATACAAATTAAAACTAAACTTAGCCGAAAAACAAACACTTGTAAATACCCATTTCCCTTCCACTAACATTGAGGAGGCGTGATTTATGACCTCTGTGTTGGCTTCAGTTTCACAGAGCTCTCATGTCATTAAGCTTTTCATACAGTCGATGGTATTTCTATTTATCGTTCAACTTCCTCTTTTCACAAAACATCAGTGTGATGAAGAATTCAGAATATCTAAATATTGACGGACATTATCGTTGAGAAATACGTTAGGTTTACCTCGACTTTGTAGTTTGGTCCATGTCCCACCCTTTAACATGGAGGTGGTGGGTTTAATGAGGTATACAGCAGCCCACCATTAGGGGGCAATAGAGACACTTTGGCTCCACTGGTCAAAATAGATTTCTGTCCCCAACTCAGATGAGCCAGATTGTCGTAGCTACACAAATCTGAATAATCCCTGTAGTTGTTCCTGTAGCACCCAAACACACTGCTGCTGCGTTCTTCAGACCCAATGTTCACGTCTGAAAACGTCTTTTGTCTCCTCAGAGTCGAGGCCTGGACGGTTTTGACGTGTGGTCGACCATCAGTGAGGGGAAGGAGTCGCCTCGTCAGGAGATCCTTCACAACATCGACCCCCTGCACAAAGCACCGGCTCAAACCATGAAATGGGACGCCGACATAGACGGAGGCTCAGGTGACTGACACGATAAAGTAAATAAAAGCAAGTCAGAGAAAGTGAAACACACGGTACCAATAGAAAAGGAGAATTTAAAGGACACATAGAAAGGAGGGATGAATGGAAGAGAGCCAGTGTTCCTTAAATAATCTTTGCCAGCGAAGGTTTAAAAAGTGTTTGCTTCAATACACTTTGTCTCATTTGTGTTTTCTCTGATTTCTCAGAACGCTCATCGAAAGGTCGGACATTCAAGAAGCCAAAGAAGAAGATTCTGAAGCAGAAACCGAAGCTGAAGTCAGCGTTAAAGTTAAAGAGCACAAAGAAACCTCGGACATTTTCTCATCATGTCCCTAAACCGAAGTTCAAACTGAAAGATAAATCTCTCCCAAAAGAGAAACTCAAACCCAAACCTCAGACCAAAGACTACGCTCAGCGTCGGTCTGCTCATAGGTTCAAGTCCCTCTCTGTTCATCTTCCAGCTGCGTCGGGAACATCTGACCCCAAGTCTCAGCCTCAGGTCCAATCAACTTTAACACCAAAGTCCAGACGGACCACATCCCAGAAGAAGTTTCATTTAAAGTCAAAGTCCAGGAGGACGGTCAACCAGCACCTGAACGAGTCCCTGGGGACGTTCCCACCCACACCCCACACACTTTATACGTTTAAACCTCAGCCCTCACAGACAGTGTGGGACACTTCGGTCCAGGCTGCCATCAGGGTCGGAGACTGGAAGCTGCTGACAGGAGACCCAGGTCATGGAGACTGGGTCCCGCCTCAGGTATTCTGACGGATTTATTATAATGAGGTTATGTTTTCACCTGGGTTACTTGGTTATTTTTGTTCGGCAGCAGGATTACGCTTAAACTCAACAGATTTACGTTAAATGTTGAAATCTGCAACTACTGTGAAAGTGTTGTTGATAAGTGGATTCATGAAGGAGAAAGAGGCTTTGATTTGTCTTTGATAGTTTATTTACACTGACGACACGTTTAGGGACCGATTCAGATCTAATTTCTTTTATATTTCTTTTGTTCATGAGCAGGATCATTTGGCTCAAATGGGTGATATTCTAGTTTCAACCCTTTTTCATTCTCAGGTACTCCCCTCTCTCCCTGGTCGCTGGTGGAACCTTGAACGCACCTTCTCCTCCTTGTACAAATCCTCCACCCTCAAAAACATCTGGCTGTTCAACATCACCGGCGACCCGTACGAGCGGCAGGACCTGGCGGACCAGAGGCCAGATGTTGTCCAACAGCTGCTGGCTCGGCTCGTTTACTACAACCAGACGGCCGTGCCTGTTTACTTCCCACCCGACGACCCTCGAGCCAACCCCAGTCGGCACGGCGGCGCCTGGGTGCCCTGGGTGGACGAAGAGGAGGAAGAGGAGGGGAAGTATCAAGGTGTTTACAAGAAAGGGAAGAGCAAGAAGAAGAGGAAGAAGAAGAGGTGCCGGCTGTGCAAGCTCAAGTCGTTCTTCCTGAAACTGAACACAGGGATGATGTCCAACCGGATCTGAGGCTTCCACTCACGACCTCAACATTTTGATTTAGTTAAATCTTAACCTCTTGAAACCAATGAAAAAAGTGGTAACCATGGTAACCAGGTGAGTTAATTCCACTTCAATCGAGGACTCGAACAAACATGTCCGTTCACTGGCTTCACTCTTTGGTTCCTTTTAAAAATATTTGTCAAAGCAGTTGATTTTTATTTTTTAATTCTCTTAAACTTACACAACTTAAAGTGTAGGAAAATCATTGACTATAAAAAAATATCCAGGATGTGGGCGCAGCGGCATCACCGCCTCCTGGTGGACTGAAGTGGAAAAGCTTGTTGTAGCCATCAGTTGTTCATACGTCATCGGGCTAATTTGTCTGATCTCCTCAGGTCTTTAACAGCAAACATGGAGGAAGCAGGGTTCATGACTTTCACCGCAGCCGGCCACCAGGAGGCGATCCAGATGATTTGGCTTCACTTGTAGGAATCAAATGTAAAGTCCATGAGACAAATCCAGATGTTATCATCACACATGTGCTGTCAAATATCTCACCTGAGATTTTCTTTCACATTTCATTTTTATCGTTCACAAACTGACGGAGTTCTTGACACAAGAACCGACTTTGTGAGATTGTAAAATGTGAATTGACGCTGTAAACAATTCAAGTGATATCGTGAGAAAATCCAGATGTGTATAGTGACAGTGCATGATCCTGATAATTCTAAATCACTACGGTTGTTTTTCTTTGGTCATAAACAAGAAAACAACAGAGGAGTTTATATATTTGTTACGTTTTCACTGTATTTCCACTCCCCATTGGTTTCAGATGTTTTTCTCAGATGATAATTATTATCAGACACAGAAATGTGTCGGGTCGTCAGATACTGTGGTTGAATGTGTTGTAAGTGGTGGGCATCTTTTTGACTTCAATACATCCTACTGTGAACAGCAGAAACTGCCATTTGAACTTACATATATTCATATTTCGAGCATTTTATAGATGGAAAGTGGCAAAAACCTGACACATTCAAACTTCCAATACAAACTCAACCAGTTTCAAGTTGAGTCACTGAGGTTTGTATTTGTTTTGAAGGATTATCTGTAGTTTCCAAGTAATCCTGCTGACAAACAAAGGTAATGAGCCACAGATGTATTTTTTTCAATTAAATCTCGCAGAGGTTAAAAAAGGTCGAACCTTTACAAGCAACAATCTTTGAAGTAAGAAGTTTATCGACTCACCTCTAAATATTTCAGTGTATTTGCTCAATATTTAACAAACCACACGTGTGGCTGTTCTGCAACAGAACGGGTCAGTGTGAGAGGAGAGTTCCAGAGAAACACTAAATGGACACGTTCCTCCACCCTGAGCAAATAAAGGTCAAATTAGATCAACAGCGACTGTGTCACTTTATTTCATGTCTGCTGGCGTCACCGCTCCTCAGCTCAGATTGTAGAGAGAAGTTTTTTAAAGTATTTTACATGTGAGATGTTCTCTCTGCACACAGAACTCATCATTGAACACGGCTGCAGCTCAATGATAAACTTATATAATTCTGGAGTCTGCACCTCTAATCAAATCTCCGAAGATCGTTAATTCGTACTAGTTAAACAGGACTCTTTATATTATTTGTACATACATGAAGTTAAGGAGGGTTTAAATGTTATTTCCAAATCCATTCAAATACTCTTATTTTAGTCTAATTTCAAAATAAAAGTACTATAAATGTAAATATCACATGCTGCATATTAGAAACACAGCGAACAGTTTGGCCACTAGGTGGAACCAGACATTAACAAATCCCTGCAGTTAAGTCTCCAGAGCATTTCCACACTTTAACAGAATAAATCAGAGTCGCACCTTCAGTCTTCAGATCAGGGAAGCTGCTGATTCTGGTGAGGATCTGCAGGTGAGACGTCCACCGGGAAGCGTCACAGACATCACGTGTCTTTGTAACTGATCCACACGGAATGAAAGAGGAAATGTTCTCTCGTTTCCAAGTCACTGAACCGTCAAGGTCATTTAACTCAGCTGGTTCAAGATCCAAGAGTTGCTTTAAAGTTCTGGTGAAGTTTGAACTTCAGGATCCTGGAATATCCTACACTGATCACGAAAGGATTATTATCAATCACTAACATTATTACTACGTGGCTGCAACTGTGTCAGACCTCATTCATAGGTAATGTGTGTGTTTGTGTGCAGAAGAAAAGTGGAAAGATAATCAATGAAAAATAAAACAGTTATAAATAATGCACTAATTTCTCTCACAGTTTTTCATCTGTTGCACCTCAAATGAAAATATCTCTTCTCATCTTCTCTCTCACACAATCAGAGATGTAATGAAATCATGGCACCAATTATCTCCAGTTTTGTTCTGGTCGTGCTGACACGAGCCTCGGTTAGTGCTCGTCTACCAGATTTTAAAAAATAACACCGACACTGAAGGAAAAGGGCAGAACGTTCCCTGTGTGCGGTCACATGCTGAACCATGATGGTTTCAGATGCTGGAGAGAGAAAAGAAACCTCACAGCAGGACACGTGTAGCAGGTGTTACGTCTCAGATCAGTCTGACACGAGACAAACACCAGACAGAAGAACACGAATATCTCAGGATGAGAAAGGAGCCAAACACGTAAAGACGCAGATGATGTTGACTAAGAAAAACGGAGATTCAAGAGTTTTTGGTGACGTCGTGTCCTGACTCCTGCTGCTCTACACAGACTCCACCGGTCACCTGAGAGTTCTGGACATTTTCCTGTTGAGGTAAATGAGTCTAACCTGAACAACCTCCTGCTGAGTTCTTCATATGTAAAAGGAAAACCCCAGAAAATGTCCAAACCTAATTTTAAGACATTTCGACAAAGAACCACAACACACGGAGGAAAAAAAAAAAAACTAACAGCAAACTCTACCAGATAAACTTTTCTCTTGAAAAAATGATTTTAAAGCACGATGGAAGAAAAATAAGACTCAGAAGATCATGATTCGGACCTTGAATTATACATTGTACCATATTTTAGACGTTTAAGAGTCTGCAGAAACTCTGAGCGCAACATTACTGGATGTAACAACCATGGAAACTCTACTTTCACACCAGAGAACAAAGAGTGAGATGCTCCAGACTGAGTGGGCTCAGAAACCAGACAGCTGTTCAGTGATCAGACGTTTGCAGACAACCTTGGTCGTCCCTGTTTGCCCCCCCCCCCCCCCCCCCCCCCCCCCCCCCCCCCCCCGACTCACGAGCTTTCAATGCCTGTTCCGGCCGCTCATCAGAGCTCCCCCTGGTAACTGGAAGCAGCGACTGCAGATGACGGAACAAAAGGTGAGTGGGAGATAAAGTCAGTGCACATGCAGACAATGAGGCTTTCTCCTCAGCTTTGATTGGATTCTACAGAAAATAACTTTGCCCACAGCATCAGACGTTCATTTACTGCAGCAGCAGAGCTCCCGCAGCGACAGACGAAGCTGGAGACGAGAACACGACGCGACGGATTTATCGAGGGGCCAATTAAAATCACTCTCAGTTGCACGTTGGCCTGGTTTTTGTTTAAATTTTCTCTTCAGATGATCCACACCAAAGTTTAAGAGATTCTTTTTCTGACATCAAGTTTTCTGGTAATCCAACCAAATGTTCAGCCTCAATCACCCTGACAACAGCACAGCCATGGAGAAAATTTGTCGCCATGGATCCAAAGCGGACGAGGTGATCTGAAACTCACCTGCGTCCTCGGAAAATACTGCTGGTTTTTATTTGTATTAGTAAAACAAGACATTTGTTTTTTTTAATCAAACTGTAGTGAGTCATTAAATTAGCGGGGAGCAGCGGGGCTTATTTTTCTAAAATCTAAACGTGCTCGTCATTCCCACCAATAAGTTACGAAGCCTTTAAACTGAACACACGCTGACAAAAGCTGCAGCAGAGGTCGTTTCTCACCACAGACACGTTTGTACCTCCATCTTGTAGGGTCGGGGCTCAGAGCGGTCCTCACAAAGATATAAGTACACACACCAGGTTCTGCTGCATTCACACACTCACTCGATGACACGCTGAAGGACAAAGACGACAAAAAATGAGACATTTAGGTCAAAACACATAATGCCCTGGATTTTTATTTCATTTTGTGACAATTCAAGAGGATTTTTAGTCTTTCCCATGAGAGAGAGAGTGTGTGTGTGTGTGTGTTTGGTGGAAGAGACCATCAAAATAAAACTCATGAATCAGCTGGGCCACTGGAATGGGCATTGGGATTTGTGGTACAGACAAAGAAAAACTACAAGTAGCCTTGTTCAGTACCAAACTCTTCACAGAAGAGAGATTTTTCTTTTTGTTTTTAGGTTTTTTCTTTTTTCCCAAATGAAGGCACCCGATAACTTGTAGTTCATGGCTTCTTCAGCCTTCTGGAGTTTTTGAAAGTAGAGAAAACGTTTATTTTTTTTCATTTTTTGATCAATACATGTTGTCTTCCTTATTATGTAGAAGCTGGAATGATATAAATGTCAGTTACTGCATTTCTTAAAACTCCCTTATTGTTTTTTTTTTTATTTTAAATTTTAGATCAACAAGTAACAAAAGAATGAAGTTTTCTGTGAGGAAAATTCAAATAAAAAAATGGGAGGTACAAAAATATTCTAAAAAAATAAAGGGAGGATGTGAAGAGGGGGTGTGTGTGTGTGTGTTATCTTTTAGAGAAAACAAAATGGGAAATAAAGTCACCTGGTTCCAACCAGAGGACAAAATCATACAAAAGCAGCATCGAAATCAATTTCTAAGAAAAAAAAAAAAAAATCATTTAGTGCTTATATGAGTCAGAAGCAGCAAAGTCTTCTGGGAAAGATTCTTCATCCCCATTGTTTTGTTACTTGTCTCAGGAATAATATACGTATGGAAGAGCTTTGTGGAAACTGATTAACCCACTGACAAACTGATGCCCACAACAAACAACTTCACACCCGTCTTTACTTCCACCGCCCCGCGCCCGAATCTGTGTGAGCGCTCCACGGATTCAGCGTGACTCATTGGAACATCGTGGAGGAAAAAAAAACGCCCCGACAGAGACGGGCGAGCTCCTGGCCATGTTCACAACATCCAACAAAAAAAATAAAATAAAAGACAAGAGTTGTTTAAATCGAGCTAAACACTGACAACAGCACGGGGAAAGGTACAGTGTATAAAAAAATAAAGGTTTGGAGAGAAAGAAAAAGAAACCCTTTGTAAACACGGCACAATAAATAGATCAAACAGCAGGTTCCGCACCATGCATGTGATGACACACATTTTTCTGTGGTACAACTTTCACACCTCATACTCGCACCAGTTGCAGTTTGTCGTTTTCTCTTTTTTAATTTAGATTTTTCTTTTCTTTTTTTTTTTTTATATCTCGAGTGCAAAACATCACAAATGAACAATTCTGTATTCAAGTAATGTTATATACAAGAACATGGGGGGTAGGGCGGGGGGGTATTACAAATATGCAGTACTGTACATATAATTGCCATATTAAGAATTTACAGACGATCTCTTATTAACAGTAACAAATAAAGGAATTGGGGGGGGCGGGGAGAATGAAAAAAAAAATGTTTTGTAGGAGATGAGCATTGCAATTAAGTCCCAAAACAGTTGCCATGGAAACCCAGCCTTGCTCATTGTGCCAACACTTGCATTCATGAATTACAAATGATGCATAGCACAAAAAAAAAAAAAAAAAACCCAATAACAAAAAAGGAGTCGCGCTTCCTCTCGTGCAGCGTACGAGAGGCTACGTAACCTCCATGGCCACTGTGTTCTCTGATAGACTGTTCAGTGCTGGCTTGTCTTGTTCGTGATTCTCCCTGAGGACGAAAAGAAGACGACACGAGGACAGTGAGACGCAGCGAGAGGTCTGAATTCAAAGCAGTTTCATAAGTGTTCTAACTCCAGCCCTTTGACCACAGGAACTTAAAACCTGAGCTTAAACAAACATTGTGAAGCGTCCATACGAGGTTCTTCACACATGTCGAGTATGATATATCGTTTACTTACAGAGAGTCTGGCTGCAAAAATGGTACTAAAATCATTTTACTTCCTGTATTGTTTTTAAATATCGAGTATATCCTCTTACTTTCAAATTTATTTTCAGTCTACGGTTTAAACTCAAGGCTTCTCTTCTGTTAGCATTTCTGATTCCACGGACACGTTACCCCACAGCTGTTGTGTTGTTCTCACCTGGGCACTATATCCAGCGGCGAGGCCGAGGCCGTAGTGACCTTGGGTTTCTGACAGTTGGCGGTTGCGTGGGTGAACTTTAAGGCGGATGTCGACATGGTGGTGCTCAGTGTCCGCACTGCGTGGACACGCTTGCCGGTGGGAGCACCCAGACGGAGGCTGTTGTTTCCCAGCAGGACCTGAGTGGTGGCGGTGTTGGTTGTGGCGGGGTGGGTGGTGCCATTGTTGTTACTGGTGGCGGAGGTGGAGCTGGTGGTGCAAGGGTGGAGCAGAGCAGGTGTTGGGGAAGTGGTGGGAGGAGCTGGGGCGACGGGGGATGGGGATACTGTGCTCGAGAGGTGCAAGCCCTTGTAGACACCTGAGGGTCGAGAGAGGCCGGGAGACGGAGGGGGAGGAGGAATGGGATGTGAGGATGGGGGAGGGGATAAAAGGGGAGTGGGTGGGTGGAGGTGCGGGAGACAGGGAGGTAGGTTGATGAGGGAAAAGTGGGTGGGTCAGGGAGGGGGTTAGAAGGTTTTAATTATCAATTATTCTTAAAAAGAAAAATCCTGAATTTATTCATATTGCAACTCGACACTGACTCTACTGTGTGATGTATACTGACGTAAATAAATAAAACCTGTTTCTGCTGCGAGGGACTAAGGTCACTCAGGAGACCATTAAAACAATCACCTCTCTGTAGATTATCTAAGTTTTCGTTCCTTTTATCTGTGAAGGACGGATCCTCGTTGAAACATCTGCAGATCGTTCTCAAATTAAATTCCGTTTTGTCACTTTCCACGATTATCTCCTGAATCCTTTAGCCTGACACGGCGTCGCTTGTGCAGGAGTGAGCGCTGCAGGTTTTGTTCCGTTATCGGCTCTTTCACTGTGACTCCATTGTGGGTTTTAGACAGTAATTACTTCCCCGTCATTGTTTGCTTTGTCCGTTTTTCGTCACCATCTTGCTACATTTGGGTAGAATGAAATTTAAATCTGGTGTGCTTTCAGTTTTTTTTTACAACCCTGAAGTTGTCCCTAAATATAAACATCTACTTGTTGTTAATGGCAGTTAACAGTTGAGAATATCGATCTTTTACTAAAGGATGATCTGCTAGAGGATGTTTGGGGAAATATGGTACCTGAGGGGGAGAGGACGCCGTTTACTCCGCCTCCGAGGGCCAGCTCCTCCTTGGTTTTCAGGGCCAGCAGCTGGTCGGCGGTGACGAGGGCCGAGGCAGCGAACTGAGCGCTGGCCTGGTCCAACATGTTCGCTAAGCCCTGCGAGGAGAGAAGAGGTGAAGATGGAGGTAAGAAAGGAACACAAGAGAAAGATGTGAACACGACCGTCTGCCGCTCGACAACAGAAAATACTGACCAGTGTGCTGTTGGCAGTGGCGGTGCTGTTGGCTTTCTGTTGCAGCTGGATCTGCTCCTGCTGCTGTTTCTGCATCAGGGCCAGCTGCTCCTGATGCTGCTGGTACTGTTCGGCTGTTAAAGCTGAGAGGGACAAAGGTTTCGTTACAAATCTGGAGACTCACATCGTCATTTAACAGGTTTTTAATAGTGCACTCTGTGGAAATTACAGGATTTCTCCTAGATTCACACAGAACGCTCCAGCTCTATAAAATACTCTTCTCACTGTAAAGAAAATGAATAAAATCTTTAAAACACATTTCTCTGACATTAAAAATATTGTGTTAGCAATGGATTCTAAAAAAATAAATCACAACACAGATATGACACCTTCAGTGGCTCTTCATTGCAAAGTTTTACTCCACAAAACAAAATCTCACGACTGATCCCTGAAGCAGTTTGAATCCTCTTCATTTCTCTCTCCTACACAAAACGTCAACAACACTCAGGTGTTTCTAACAGTACAAAATATTTAGTATAATATATTTTTAGATAACTGTTCCGATTCCCACCAAACCTTTGAGGTTCTTGGTGGTGTGCCCAAATGGTAATTCATGCAGTTAACCATCCCACACTGGAAATGGCTCAGTCGACCCAGACAGCCTGGTCTTTTTATTCTGTTGTGTTGGAGTCAGTACTGTAGATTGTGTTGATAAATAACTCGACGATTCAACACTGAAAAACGCAGTCTTACAGGTAGAAATACAACTCAAGTACTCGACGACCTACTCTTGACACTCACTGTGCGAAAGATGAAGCAGAAAATTGTCAGATTCAAAGGTTTGACATTTGACTAGAGATGTTCGGAAACTATTTTACCTTCACAAAATGATACCAGGACTTTTTGGCTGATACCGAGAACCGATCTGATACCAGTGCTTTAAAAAACACATCTAAAGTTGTATGCTACCAACGCTGTATGGAAGAGAGGACTGTTAATACACGTCGCTGTTATACACTAGGGCTAACGCTACACTACTGAAATCACGTCTTCACTGTTCAAGAAAACTTTTACCACAGTACTACTACTAACATTTAAAAGATGTGGCATCAGATCAAGACATTAATACTCAGTGTAGTATTTTCGTCAGAGACATTTACGATGCAGTGTCAGAACACGTGAGACTGAATCAGTGTCTGGATTTACAGAGAGGCGTTTGGTGTTTCAAACTTTCCACAAGGGCTATGACCGACTCTTAAAAGCAAGTTAGCTTCCTTCAGTGGGTTTCTGTCGAACACTTAACATTCCAGCCTTGGTTTACATATGAGGCAGAGTATGACAGAAATCCGATAACCACGTTACTCCAATGAACACATGCTCCAATTATGTAAATAAAGTCTCATGTCTTTCTATTGATTTTAAAGTCCTACTCCCACATTGCGAAGTATAACGTGGCTGTGCGCCTCAGTGCAATATTGATTTACGTATTCCCCCATGAGACTCTCAGCTCTACACTTCACAGGAAACAGGATTCATTACTCTGCATCTCAAAGTCACAACTCGTCCTCTGGCACCGCTTCCACCGGAGACTTCATGCTTATTTTATTAAATCAAAATACTGCACATATTAATTCTGCACCACTTAAATCCTACTTTAACCACTGCTCTCTGTAGATTCAACCACTAACTGTAGTTACTCTCTCAGATATTAATTATCTTGCTTATTCTCTAGTTTCTTCCAAGAAAAAAATCAATGCAGCTGTTTTTCATGCTCATCAAAACATAGACAACACGGAGAAGCTGCTTGTACCAACATCAAGATACCACCGGAGACCTGTGGCATTTAGTCTGCATTCAACGCTCCACACCTGTGTCCACGCACCCTGACAAATCCTGCGCATCTCATGAATTTATCAAACCCAGTTTGAATTGACATCTTGTGGACTGGGTGGGAGGTGATGCAGTAAGAATGCAAAGCGACGTCAAACATTAACTCTTACAACAAACAAGAAAAAAAGGCGAAACTAAAAGGGCACTCTGTTCATAGATATTACCACACCTGCCTTTTTCATACATTGTGAAATATTGAATATGTGAATGAAGCAGTTCACTTCCAATCTGTGCAGGCAAGAGGCGAATAAAACATTTGCTTCCTGTGATGAAGCAAATCCGAGTTCAACTTTAGTTAAAAGTAATTTTTTTATCTGCAACATTCACATGGGTGTCACAGTGCCCTTTAAAAAAAAAAAAAAAAAACTTAATTAAGTTCTGGATCCGCCCCCTAAATCTAATCCACCCCAAAAGCTAATTGCTGTTTTCCCTTGGCCCATACCTCGCCCTTCCACCAAGTTTCAAGAGTTTGATTCAGTATTTTTTGTGCAATCCTGCTAAAAATTCAGCAGCCGTAATAATTTCATGAATTACAAGATTTTTCTCAGCATAAATTTTTATTCACCGTCATTGTTGAGGAGGAACTGGTGTGTGTGTGTGTGTGTGTGTGTGTGTGTGTGTGTGTGTGCGCATATACTGCTTTCAATGAAATGTTTTGATATTTAAGTCACTTGATATCACAGCAGAGATCGTGGGTCTGCTACCTCAAGCTGCCACGAGTGCAGAACAGGTAAACCACAATTTGAAGGCAGTCTGAAGGCAGCCAAGCCTCTTACCAGCAATGGGTGAGGGAGCAGGGACAACCCTTCCCAGGCGTTGAGAGCCAAAGGGCTGTCCCCCAGCTGTGGAGGCAGAGACCGGGCGCTTCAAGCCTCGACTCAACCTCCTGAATAGGGGGTGGGCGTTATCCAGCTCGTGTAGTGGTAGTGTCCGTGGTCTAAAGTGCCTCCATCGGCATGACTTTATATTCAACAGTATCTGACTGAGGTCCGTGGAAGAGGACAAGGAAAGAGAGGGGTTGAAGGAGGAGGAACTTCTGTCTGAGGTATTTGTTTCTGAGGTACTGGCGAACTTGTTGGTGGCTGACGAGCGTGACGTAGTTGTGGGGGGAGGGGGAGTTTGGGGGAGAGGCAGGTCGAGCATTTCTGGATCCAGGCCGTGGAAAATGTTGTCATAGTCCGTGTGCGCCCTGTCCAGCAACACCCTGAGGAGAGGAGGAGCAGGTCAGATATTCTGTTTTGACAACAACACATCTCCAATAAGATTAACAGAATGAGATTATACATCAAAGTATCATTTTCATTATCAAGTAATGGAAACTTAAGAGTTTGACTCTAACGAGCAAGAGTAAACGTATTTAGCCAGTGAATTGTGTGGTGAGATATTTTGATAGTTTCACTAAAAAAGCACAATACTATCTGATATATAAATGTTAACTGACCTGCCGCCTCGTCCCAGGCGTCGGCGAGCCATGCCCAGACAGTGCCGCGGCACGGTGAGTGTAGTGAGACTGTAGCGAAATCGAGCTTCTGCCAAGCCGCCTTCCCAGTGATCGCACCACGGCCAGCTACCCACACGGTCCTGACGAGCCTGAAGAGATAAAGCATGGAAGAATGCCTCAGACATTTGCAGGAGACTCTTTGTATGTCCTCTATTACAAAATGCATTTCAACGTGATAACAATTATCTATTAGTTTCACATTTAAAAGGCTGTAAATTCTATTAACTCAACAAGGTTAATTGTTCTTGTTTGAACCAGAATGAAAAGATCGTTAAATTTACCCTGTAACCTTTAACTAACAGCAGGAAACTCAACTCGTTTGGTGGAGCAGTGTTTTACTTTAACTTTGACCCATGAGGTCGATGTGAATGTTCGTAATGTCTCATTATCTCACCAGTCTGGTGATGATTCACTTCATTTACTACAACACGTGAACCCCTGAGGAGCTTTTCGTTTTACACTCGGTGGAAGATGGAAAGGTTATGTAACTTACAGCATAGTACTGGCAGCCGGCCTTCCTGCGAAAGGCGTAGGCACCGTCTGGGTCGTTCTCCTCCTCTGCTTCCGATGAGCCTGAGTGCAGCTGGGGACACAGAGGTCAGTCAGAGGTCACAAGCAGGATTAATGAAACCTCAAGCAAGAGATTGTTGTTTAATACATTTCCCACACTATCATGGATTTTATACAAGATACAGAGATAGTGCGCGGGAGCTGTTCAATTTCGTCAGACTAGCTGCTCAGTGTATTTCTGATGGTCTTGAAGTGTGTGTACCTGGGAGAATGGCTCGTCGTCTGAGCTGGGGAAGTCATACTGGTTGAGGTCCTTGGCGTTGAAGACGACAGGACCAGGATGGTGGGGGAGGCCTGACGACAGAGGCAGAACCTTCGGCTTCTTCTCATACTTCCTCTTCTGCCGGGGAACTTCCATCTTCTCGGGCTACGGGGGAAACAAGACGGGTCATGAGACTTAAGAGACTGCTGCCCAGGGGCAAACTGTAATTTCACAAAGTACTCCTCTGTAAATATTCTTAATTTTACCAACTCAAAAAAGTTGTTTAGAAGTATTTATTTTCCCAGCTTCCACAAATGATCCAGACTAGTGTCCATAACAGTGGTACTCACCTTGGACTTGTAGTCCTTAAGGTCCATGTGGTCCTGGTGTCTGTACTGGTTGGTGAGAGGGACCAGAGGAATGATCTGCGGCCTCACCAGTGCCCGTTCAGCCAGAACTTCTGCCATCACCTCACCACCGTAGTCCAACATGACGTTTCTGGAAAGAAAGGGCACAAAGGATTAGCCAATCAGAGTTTAAGACAGATCAAACCACTTGATTTAGCACAGTGGTCGGTCTGGTCTCCTCTACCTCAGTGAAACTCTGGGCTACGGCATTAATGCAAGAGCCTCACCTCTTCTCGAAGATCTCCAGAGTGAGGTGCAGCAGCTCCCTCTTGCTCTTTTCCCTCCTCTTGATCATTTCCAGGATGGTGACGGCTCGACTAAGATCCCTGCGTAACTTCAGCATCTTCTCATATGACGCCTCGTCATTCTTACGATTCTGAAAGTTCAAGAGAAGAAAAAGTTCAAGTGAAATCGACAAAGAAAAGGAAACATATCCAGCCCATAATAATCACTTGGGCTATTACATAAAGACACAATTAAAACTTAAGAAGTTAATTGGTCAAGAAAATAAATTAGTTTAATGAACATTTATAACAACTTTACTACAGGTCAAGTTTAGAAAGATATATTTATATATAAAATCTATTTAATGTTTATACAGCGACAGACTTGTTTAAATATACGCAACACAAAAAATACAACCGTTTGGATCAGGGCCTCTTCCCTGATACAAACTTGGCTCTGCCACAAACACCATTACACTAAGTAGCTCGACTTGTTGATCAAACAAACAGATCAATTTGACATTTATTTTTTACTTTTGGATGAAATAAGAATCATAAAATACATTTTAATTTATGATAATCGGCAGCATAAACGTTGAAATACCAACCTTCCTAGTTTGCATCTTCTCTGTGCGCCGTCGGAAGGCCACATAGGGGTCACTGGTGCTGGAGCCGTCTCGCCTCTCCTGCTTGACGTTGGGGATGAGCGAGTTAGCCTTGCTGTTTTTCCTCTTCCGGCTCCAGTAGTCGAAGACCTCCTTGATGAGCTCGTCGTCCTCCTTCAGCAGCAGTTTGGCCTCGGGAAGACTCACCGGCTAAAAAGTTACAAATTGGAGTTTAATAGATGCCACACCATAATGGATATATCCAGAAAGACCTGTCAGTCAGGTATTTTAGGGAGCCTTCTTTCCAGCCAGATGTTTGAGGGTGAACAAGGAAACTCAGTTGCCAACCTGCTGTCCGCTGCCTTTCTCCAGCCTGTCAATCATCTCCTCAAACTGCAGGAAGCTGATCTCCATCTTCTTTTTCAGCTTGATGAGGAATGCCTCATCGTCCGAGTCCAGGTCATAGTCTGGCTGCTCTGTGTCCAAGCTGAAAGCTGCAGGGAGAGAGAGGATAAAGAACAGCATGTTTGTGAAAAAAGAAAAATGTCAGCATTAAGGAAACTTCACCATTTCAAACATCTCATTAGCAGAGTGGTGATGGTTCAGCTCTGCAGAGTCAGACATTTTTCAAAGCAAACTTATCTGTGAACTCAATCCGGTAACAGTTTTGGAGGTAGTAATATAACCAAACTCAACCACAATGAAAGATAGCAGTCAAAGGAAGGAAGGTTGGTACAAAGTCCTGAAACCAACCATGAACCAACACAGAGCAGTCGAGACTATTGCGAAAGCAGCAGCAAAAACAAAAACAATCTTTTTCTCTCCAGTTCTATTCAATATTCAGATCATTATGGTTTGTTTAAAGGTACCATTGTGATTTCTGGAATCACCCACATTTACTTTTTCTGTTTCATTGTGATTTGCAACGAGGGGGTTAGAAAAGAAGAATATCAATCAGCAATTAATTAGATACGGATAACGTGATCTGGACCGAGGGATTCACACTGAGATTTATTTGACACAACTTGACAAGAATCAGGTCTCCTCTGTTGCTCAAAGTTGATTTCGCTTCAAAAACTTATCGGTTTGAAGCTAACCGACAGGAAATGCAACATTACAGAACTTAAGTCATCATGTCTTATTTCAGTCAAGTTCTCAAAACTTACTCTGAAATAATAGACTTTCTATGAAAGTCAGTTATTGTTTGCGATGCAGTAAAGCAAAAATAAAACTCACATCATTCAAACTAATGCAGAAAGCTTCAGTTTAAAAAGGTTCTAAGAATTTATATCAGTTGGGTAGCAGGTCCCATAATTCAATATCCAGTTTTCCAGCCAGTATCATGAAAAGAGTGCCTGGTTTAAAATGCCCAACGATATATATATATTTCTGGTGTCAATCAGGGCAATTACGTCATTTATCCATTGTACAAATACACATATACTACAACAGCACCTCCATGTATCTGAGATGACAAAAATGTCATTCACTGGACCATAACAATAACCAAGCATAAAATAAAGGTTTACTGCTACAATAATTGTGGCATTAGTCTGCTATGAGAAAAATAAAAAGACAGACAGAAAACCATAACCAAGGAAAACAGCTGAGAGCAAAACAGTGCAGCAGCTGTGAATAGTTGACGGTATTTCAATTCTCAGTTTCCCTGGTTTGTCATGGAAACGTCTGCCGACGTGAGTAACAGTCAATCGTCCAAATCACAGGAGCTGCAATCGTTATGATTAATCTAAAACAAAACAGCACGTTATTATATGTCTGATGAAATTATTATCATATCGTCTGAAACTTCTTACCCATCGATATCGAAATCGACCCCCAAACATTAATATTGCTCAGGTTTAAAGAGAATATTTATTAAACCACAGGATTAACAGAAAAGAGATAACAGAACAGGCTTCATTACACCAAACCAGTTCAGACACGGAACAGGAGTGACAGGGCCTTAAAGACAGTTAAGATTATCTGTCTGTTATTTACTGTAGATACATTAAATCTACCGACCCAGTAACCAACAGATTGACCTAACATTACCAGACAGTTTAATGGAGTCTGCATTAATGGGTTTATTAAAGCTCAAATTAAAAAAAGGACACACTGAATATTTATATAAGTCAGAGGTGCATTATTATAATTTTAGTAGAGGGATAAAATGTGACTCTCTGCCCTTTTCCTAATGGTCTAATGTGAGCATATTTATGACTTGAGAGACAGAAATATAAAAGTTGTGTCAAACCAGAGACTAATTCAGATCAATCAACTTCCCGAGTCTCAACAACTGTTTCCCGACTCACAGCCGCTGTTTAAATGTGTTTTAATTCAGCTGTGGTTTGTCTCACTGTAAGAACACAAATCTGTTCAAATCAAATTTCACTGGCTTCTGTCGAGCCTGCAGTCCCCACACTGACAAATAGAGAGCAAACGATACGCAGGCATGAGAATATGCTGCTTCAGCTTTAAAATTATAACCACAGTCGAGACTTAATTAGAGCAAATCATTTTCATCTTGAGCAGCAATCAATGCAACTGAGTATGACGGATGAGATATATACAGTTATCGACAAGGTTCGTTTTTAGCAGCTCAAACTGGAACCATGTGAAGTAGATCTACAGAGTACATGAGTACATTTCTTACATAAATGGAGTAGGAGACAACTGTATATGTGGAATTTTAGTTTCTGTACAAAATATTGAACTCTCATGGCCTGGAAATAACCTCAACAGGATTCTCTCCACATTTCAGAGCGTCTCAACCCTCCGGCGAAAACCCAGAAATTAGTTCGACAGCCATTTGACAGAACAAAACATTTGTCTTTTCAGCTTTACTGATAACGCTGTCTTGGTTTGGGGTAACAGCAAATTGCTTCCCTTTGAGGAACAATCGTGACAGCCACTTGTGACACAGACTGGAATGAACAATCGAGCAAACTCATTTTCTTTGACGTACAATTTGACAACTCAGTAAAAGTTTATAAAACACATGCCTGAAGCCACTTTGATGACGTCAGAAAGAAAAGACTTGCTACCTTGGCCTGGGAGTCATTAGCAGAAAATATCTGGAAAATTCACTGTGAGCGAGTGGGTGAGTTGAGGACGTTTCTAACACACGTACTGTACACAAATATCTCAGGGTGGAAAAGAGATGCCATGTGTAGAGGACGCAGACAAAGATGTCAACATGGAAAGACGATGCGTTGTTGGGCTGTAAACAAAACCGCAGAATTCATACACTGCTGTGAACTCGTCTGACCTGCATAATCTCCTGCTGTGCTCTTCATATGTGAGAGACAAATTCCAGGAAATGTCTAAACCCAAGTTTCCAGACATTTTCCAGAGATCATGCCTGAAAGCCTCCATTGAAAGGGACCAACAATTTATCAGCCTCTCTGCAGCTGAACGTCTACAGCACACGTCTTCACTGACAGTTTCACTTTTAACACTATGGGTTTAACAGTCACATCAGGTCCCCCCTAGAAACTGTTCCGGGGAAACTCTTTATAAGCCTCTTTACAGTCCAAAAGTCAATTTAATGAAACAACACAGCTCTTAAGTGATGATTTACAAGTTAAAACCCTCCTTAGATTACACTAATGGGGACTACTCTGCTCATTATTTTCATCTGCAGTCCCCAAGTGTCATTTAACACGTTAAGAATAATAGATGAAAACACAATTATCGCCAAATGAAACACCTCAGGTGCCTTAACTGCAACAACAAACTCATCGTGCATCACGCATTTGCCATTAGAGAAGCCCACTTACGCTGTATGTGAATTAGCTGCTTTGGCATCTTGTAGTCTCCAGGGTAGAGGGAGTCGTAGTAGGTGATGTTGCTCTCCGCCTCGGGGACTGGGATGACCATGTTGTCCCTCTTCTCGCCATATACCTGCTGTGCAGATATGGCCCGCTGGAGATGGTGTTCCTACAGAGACACAGACGGAGGTGAGACACTGACGTTGCACAACAATTAACAAAGACATTCCAATACAGAAATGTCAGGTGTCTAAATGACACTAGTCCCAAGTTTATTTTTCACCTCTTGAATATTATGCATGTTGGTCATAATTACAAATATATATATATAAAAAACAAGCAAACCAATTGAACGACAGAATCTACTACTAGATTAGTCGTTTATAACAAACATAACTATCAGCCAACAAATCAGAATCAGATTTCCCTCTAATACTGATGCTCTAAAATGACAGGCGAGAATAAGTATGACTTTACTCTCAAAAATACAGATGTATTTACAAAAAATGTTCCCCTTTCAGCAGCTCCAACACTATCTGTAATAACTAGACATTGCCCAACTGAAAAAAAAAACATCTTTCATTCATTCTGGGAGGAAAACAACACACTGACTCATGTAGACACCAGCTGAGACTGCATCCGTTAAGGAGGAAACTGACGATTATCCAGTTATACAATGAGCAACATTTGGCATCCAGACCTTATGATAATCTGTGTAAACTAAAAAGTACTGGAACAAATAGAACTGCCAGGCGACACGGAAACATTAAAACATCTGGTGCAGGGTCTACACTCAAACTGTCAGTCAAGGATTTAACTCTTCATATGTGGAAGAAATTCCTGATTGGGCTGAGAGGAGGACAAATCCAAACCTGCCCTCCATCCAATAACTCAAGACAAACAGAAACCTGACACCGTTTTTGTCTGCAACTCTCTGGCAGTTATCCTTATCTACTCTCCGGCAGTGTGAGGAGAGCCTGCTGCTGCCAAGCCTGCTGAGGGCGGTGGTGCCGGAAGGAAGGCAGACAGGCTGGGTGGCTGATGAACTGGTTTGCTGGCGGGCTGCTTGTCTGAAGAGTCACAGTCAGTCAGTCGTAGTAGTGGAAGAGCTTTTGGCTCAGAGCTGGGCACAGAGCCACTGGTCGGCAGTCTGTCAACAAGGCAGCGTACCTCGTACAACCGCTCTCTGGAGAGGTGTGTGTTTGTTTTCCCTGCGGCTGCGGAGGGGGAGGTGCAGATTGTGTGTATGTGTGTGTGTGTGTGTGCGTCTAGGGAAGATGACAGAATGAATGAATGAGTCACATATAAAGCGAGTGTGTGCCCACAGCTGAATGTGAAAGTGTGCAACTGTAAATGCGTAGGGTCGGTTGCATGGTTCCATGAAAAGCAGCAAATGACAAAGCTGCCACATCACATCTGCCAGCGTTGAGTAAAGGAAATACTACATTTGAACGTATGAGACAGGTTCATACAGATTCAATCTATGCAGGCAACATCTCTTAAGAGATAATTGTGTGAATTTAAGTGTCAACCTGATGCTGTTTCCATAAACTCAATCAGCTGCTTTCAGACATTTAACAGGAAAACTTCCCTGAACCTTTCCAGAGGGGCTTTATGTGAGTCCATGTCAACAGTTCTGGACAATTTCTAGAGCCCACTGTTATTTTATATCATGATGAATGTGTGTGATGATACAGTATGCTTCCATTGACAAATCCCACAGAGAACTACATGGGAATGTCAGAATCTTAGTGTTTCTTGCATCTACTGAGGGGCAACAAACAATTCTACACTTTGGTAAAAACAGTGGGGTTAAATCTGACCGTAGCATCTTGTTTTATTCGTCTCCAACTGTTTTATTCTGTGCAGAATTAGAAAAGCAATAATGGGTCAGCCACAACCTATAATGTATCACAAATATTCCTATACATTTATTCCAAATGTGACAAAGTACTGTAACATAAAAGACCAACAGGAGCACTGTAATAATTACCATCATTAAATGAAAGTGTTCTGGTAGTTCCGAAATGGTATCTCGACCATCATTATATGAGCCGGTCTTTATGGGCTCATATCCTCTGGATATTGTTCTGAACTAGGACTGCCTTTGGCTACACATGAAAGCCAGGCGGAAAGGGCTGACTGCTTATAAGAGAAACACAGGGAGGCCAAGCTGTTTTCACTGGGTTAAATCAGGCTAAATGTGCTGCTTCTCAGAAAAACCTTCAGCAAAACAGAAGAAAAACACTGCAGGGCTCGGATCAATGCAGCTCTTTATAAAAGGCAACAAAAGGTGAGCAATTCAGTGCTACACCATTTTAACAGATGGTTCTAAATGTGGAAACACTGCACCGGTCTAAGTGGACGGAGATCTCTTTGTTTTAAACTTATTGATGCTCCCAGCAGAGATCAGGCTGCGTGGAGCCGTGGTCTTTGTGGCGATAAAAACAGACGGTCCTTGACACTTCCACCAACACCATGAGGACACAAAGTGCTATTCTACTGTGTTCAGTACAGACTGTGCTATTCCATATGGTCTTCAGTCATATTTTGATGTCAAGTACAGCAGACATGAGAGAATATCCTAGAATTACTTGCACCGCTCCATAACGTTTACTTTCGTTTTAGTTTCATTGAAAAAGTACTACAACAGACGGAGACAATACAAACTACATACACAAAATATTTCGCATACACAGCTAGTTAATTAACATTAACATAATCTAGACATACCTGAACATATTTAAGACTTAATACAATTTAGATTACTACATTTTAGACTCTTCAACTCTAAAAGCCAGGACAACAAAGTGTGAATAAACACGACAAAAGACATTTATAGCAAGTTGAATTTTAAGGCAATACCAATTACACACAGATAACCTTAACCAAAATGCCGGCTTCTTGTAAAAATGACCCATATTCATGGTTAAAACAGAAAGAAGATGTTTGGAAAGTTAACTTTCTGCTGTGACCTTGTGTATCCCATCATGCTGTTTCAGTTTCTGTGTACATGCAGTAAATCTGATTTACTGCCTCCTGGAGCCCAGTGTTCATCAACACCATTTGGACTTTTAGGACAAGCAATATTCCACAGTCTGTTATACCCGAGGCGAGTGATTGTACTTTACATTTATGGCGCCATGTGCTCCGACGATCTGTTCCGAGGACGTAGCTTGCATAACCTTCATGTTCCCACCTGATTCCTACATTCCCCTGACAAACACCTAAACCTCCGCATCGACTTCCTCTGGCTTCTCCACCACGAGAGAGAAACTCATAAATCAAATGGCCGTGAGCAGAATCACATCAGCTGCCAAACCTAATCAAGCGACGTGTTTGTTTACTTCCCCAGCCCTGGCTATTTGCCTGAGAGTAAATGGACTCAGATTGAGGTGAAGAGTCACAAATACAGAGCGTTGGCTGGTGCCCTCACACTCAAAACTTTTTCCTCTTGATCTGGCTTTCTCTCACACACAGGAGTCCAGAAATAGCCTTTCTAAAATGACCAAATCGATCACTGTCAAGTCTGCTGAGGCAGCCAGAGCCGCCTCCACCTTCTCTGGTCTCGCCTGTGACAGTTACTGTCCCAGACACTGTAAATGCCTCTTAACATGATGGACAGCCACGGGGAATGGTCTAGTGGAGCTGTCGAGGGACTCGTGGCTACAGTACAAAGTGCACTTTATGCACTGTGTGGGAGAGGATGATTTTTAACATCCAGTATGAGTGGGGTGGGAAATTAATGGTGGCCATCAGACTGCATTTTTGGCAGCGAAGCAGTTTGCAAAACAGCAGAAACTTTCCATTCCTTCAAAAAATACTAAAATAAGAATGAGGCAGAGTCTAAGAGACGAGATACATTTGTCAGACTAATGTATGATGTTGCAATGAAAGCAATTATTACAGGCAATGTACACACTGTACTCTTTCATTCATGGATCAGCGACTAGAGAATTCCTGAATTTAATTCAGGTCAGTGTCAGGACTTGTTCCAGCTGAGGTTTTCAAACTGGCTGCAGAGTTAGATTCAAGAACCTGCCCTGAGGCTGCTGTTAATTTCCCACGCTGCCCACATACGCGTCAAAACAGAACTGTCAACAGTGAAAGCAGGGGAAACAGCTGACACAAGCAACTTTCAATTTCATAGCATGTAGGCTGCAAAGACTTTGGACAGGTGACAAGCCCCGAATTCCCAACTCGCAAGGTCACACTGTTAGAAACTGGTGGCGTGCCAGAATCAGATTGTATGTGTGTGTGTGTGTGTGTGTGTGTGTGTGTGTCTGAGAATATGCAAGTTCAAGAACCGTTCTGGCAAAGAGGCGAACACAGCAGATGCCTGTGGATTCCCACCACGGCCGCAGATATTGACCTCACTTTCACCCAAACATAAACACAAGACAGAGTGTCTGGCCCAAAACAAACAAGCCGCACGTGCTGAGGGAATTTCAGCGATGACAGCTCTTCGCTCAGGCCGTGCTGCCTGAAAATTACAAAAACCACAAATACCAGGTTGAGATACGACTTTTGAAGAGCAGGCGAGCGGCAGCAGAGCGAGTAAGCCTGTAGTCTTGTGCTCAGTTAAATGTTTGAAACGAGCAGGAAGACGTAGCGGACAGAAAGGCTCTAATCCAAACAAGACTGAGAGCTCACTGTTAAAAGCTTTCTAGTAGCAGAGTCAGGAAGTGTAGGGACACCACCGTCACCCTGCAGACCACCAAACACAAGGGGGTGGTTGGTGCGGTTGAGGTGGTTGCAAGCGAACATGCAAAATGTATCTTTGCAGGAAATGTAAGGTTTAGCTCCGTGAAATCAAACACATAGATGCCAGGCACTGAAGTCTGATGAGCGACTGGTTAAAGAGTGCAAGATCTTAACTCTGACATAAAAACACAACAACACTGAGAGGTTGGCACGCAGCGGGCCAAGGCCTACCTCTCATGATAATATAACTGTTACATAACCAAACGCTCCGGCTGAGCAGAGTGCAGACTTTGAAGTGACAGCACCGCCCCCCCCCCCCTTTCCTCCTGCTGCCCTGATCTCCTCCTGAGCGCCACATGCCGCTGGTCTGCCGGCCTGCTGTGCCATCTGACACACTGAACCCCAGACACCGAAACCTCCACGAGAGCAGGGACGCAGACCGGCTGCAGCAACTTCCACTGAGCA